ATCTTACCAAATTATAACTACTTATATTTTAATTAAAATTTAAAAGAAGGGCCGGGGATTTAGTTTAGTGGTTCTGCCGCCTGCCTTGCAAGCGCAAGGACCCAAGTTCAATTCCTGGTACCAAAAAAATAAAATAAAAAAATAAAATTTAAAAGAAATAATTAACACTAGCTTTTCTGAATATATATATACAGCCTGCCAAAAAATGTATACATCAGGAAAAGAAAAAGTTGTATAAATATTTTAATACTAAATGTATTGAGACATCATGAGATTAATATGTTACCTTTGGCCTCTACAATTATAAGAGGTGCTCAAAGTGGTGGCTGTTAGCTTCCAGACATTTATTAGTGCAGTGAACTACTGAAGTCTGTATACAATTTTAGCAGATTCTGTCTACACACACACAAACTTAAGAGTCCAATCATTTTTATTAGTATATGTTTATGAAACAGAATAATCAGCTCATCTTGGGGAATTGGTGCATATACGTACTACATCTTGATCATTTTTACTTTTCCTTCCTCTCCTTCCAAAAATCCCCTTCCCACATCAGTAGTATCCACTGCCCATCTCTATGTCTCACTGATTCACAGATCTCAATGTCTGGTTCTGGTCCCTGTCCAGGACCATGCCCTTGTTCCTTTCTTTCCCAAGGGCCTTCTGGTCCTAACTCAGGCACTGCCCTCCGAAGGATTTCCTGGCTTTCACTTTCTCTGGTGCCCTCATCTACACAAACAGTATCCCACTTGCTGGGCTGCCTTCCCAGTGAGATGGGAGTAAGGATAGGTGGGCACTGAATGGTGGTTACTAGGCTGGGCCACATTTGTACCAGCTCAACCACCTCTGCAGACCTTCGTTTCTTGCCTCAGGGAGTTAGATCTTTTTCCATGATAGTGTGTTTGCTGTGCCTAGGATGTAAGCTGTGCCATGATCCAGGCCTTGCTTCTTATTCTAAATACCCCAATACTGGAGTTCATCTTGTAGCCTTCTCCTTCAAATGCCTTGTACTATACTTCCCAATGCTTCTCTTCTGAGCACCCCTCAAGAACCTCTGCCTCTAGTCAGCCACGATGGAAATCCTCTGGTTAGATCATTTATTTGAACTGAAGTATAGAGTCTTTTACTGCTCTTTTCAGAGTAGAGACTGAAAATAATATGCTAACTTATATAGTTATATATTTTATATATAATATGCTAATTATAGTATCAATAAGACCAACTTTCCTTTTAATAAGCCATAATCAAAACATATATATAATCTCAGTTACAGATAAAGAATTTTCATGTTGTTTCATGTTGGCCATCTGGAGTTTTTCTTGTCCTGATATTATTCTTAATTCTCTCTCTCTTTTTTTTTTTTTTTTTTTTTTTTTTTTTTTTTTTTT